CATTGCACAATTAAAGGGAAGTGTTGAGAAACTGCATAGTGCATAGTGGAAGTATAACAGTGGAGAAAAATGCCTTGTCAACCTTATTCTTGGGTAAAGTCACCATACAAAAACAAGCACCATTATGCTAACTTAGTGGCATAGCATCCCTGGTTGCACTAGATAGAAAGTCAGGAAATCACCAAACAAAATGATAAGTATTCATAGTCTGGTGTGTGTAGAAAATTTCATGGTAATTCATCCAGTTGTTGTGAAGACATTTTAATCAAAACCAACCAGCTTTATATTGATGCTGAGGGAAAAGTCTGGAGATCACCGCAGTTGGCAGGATTCACCTCCTGGGTAGCATTAATTTGTCCACAAAATTAAAAGCAATTAATCTAGAGGTTGTGAAGATATTGTTGTTCAAATAATGAAAATTGATCACATTAACTGAAACAGAAAGTGTTAAAGATGCTCCTTATGGGCCGCCGCTACAGCTCAACTGGTTGAGCTGGCGACCCATGTACAGGGGCTGTAGTCCCCAATGCAGCGGCCATGGGTTCGAATCCCAAACATGGCCCTTTGCCGCAAGTTCTTCTCCCCAACTTTCTTGTCTCTCTCTTCACTGTCCTATACAGTAAAGGCAAAAAGACGCTCCTTATCTGTTCATGTTCCTGAGCTTCCTCACCACATTTACCTCAAGACAACAAACTGTAATTTCCTGCCACACCTTCAGAGTGTGCAGCAGCGATGACATTACTTTAGGTAACACTTATATCTGGCTGGTTTAAAAAAAAAAGGAGGCTAAAAGGTGCAGAAGAAGACACAACACAAACAGAATCCAACCCTAATTACTCGGCGTCTTATAGAATCTGTGTGCCCCTGCCAGCAGACAGTTTATGTAAGATTAGTGCTGATTGCTACAACCCAGGGAGAGAGCTGATTCAAATGAAAGATACAACAGTGAGTATAGAAGACGAGGAGGAGGAGGAGGAGGAGGAGACATATTGCTAATGACGGAGATGGCTGGGTTCACCACAAAGTCTCGCCAAGCTCATAAATTCAATAATGTCTGAAGACTTGCATCCCCTGACCTCACAGCTTTCAGTGAATTAACCGTCCTCCCTGGTCAGCTGCTGCAGCGTTCCGTGTGCTGAAGAAAATGTAGGGAAAAGACAAATTCCCAAATCTGAGATGTGGGAAACTGCATGAAAAAAAAGCACCCCAGTGCTCAGAGGAATGTTGGGGAATCTAAATCTGTTCGTGTTCGACTCACCCTTCGCCCCTTCTCTCCATCATCGACATTAACATCTGCTGAATTTATTTGGAAAACGCCTTGTGATGCCTGCAGTACAGTAAAAGCACCAACCAAGCCGAGGCCCTGAAATAGCTTTCGTTAAATTTATCACTTAGCAATCAAATAACAGGTCATTAAAGGCTGCTTCTGCTGTGTTGCCCAGCTATATGAAATCCAAAATGTCCTGTGGCAGTTTCTCACAAACACCTCATTGTGTCGGATCTCCACGATGTTCTGCATGTTGGGAAGAGTTTACAAGAAAAGCTTCAGTTTGCATCAGTCACAAGGTCAACAGAGAGGACAAGGAGGAACGATAGAGAGCTTTAAGAAGTGTAAATACTTGGCTGATCTGCTGTTTTGATAAGTGTTGGGGATTTTTTTTTTCTCTTATGTCAGAAACTGAATTTCAATTCTTTGACTTTTGGGCAAAACAATCAGACTTAGATCATGTCACCTTTAGGTTCAGGGGAATAATGATCGATGAATAAAAGCATGAATGACTTTGTCAAAGTTCTTGGGAGAGAGAAATGTCTTCACCATCCTTCCATCCATTATCTATACACCGCTTAATCCTCACTAGGGTTGCAGAGGGCTGGAGTCTATCCCAGCTGACTCAGGGTGAAGGCAGGGGACACCCTGGACAGGTCACCAGTCTATCACAGGGCTACACTTAGAGACAGACAACCAAGCACACTCACATTCACACCTACGGACAATTTAGAATCACCAATTAACCTCAGCATGTTTTTGGACTGTGTGGGAGGAAGCCAGAGAACCTGCACAGAACCCACGCTGCACAGGGAGAACATGCAAACTCCACGCAGAAAGATCCCGGGTGTCCAAAGCAGGACGCGAACCGGGGATGTTCTAGCTGCGAGGCAACAGTGCTAACCACCAAGGAAATGTCTTCCCCTTGGCTTTAAAATCTTTTTCTGAAAAAACTACAGTCGTTGTGACCACTGAGCTGATCTGCCTGTTAAACCTGAAGGAGCTATCGATGATCGCTCCAATTTATTTATTTATTTATTTTCTTACCAAAGCTCAACTGTATGAAACCAAAAGGTCAAGAGGGTCATCCGAAACATCCCGCCAACCAAACATACACTTCATCTTATTTTCCTTAGGACTGAGAGAGTTTGGATCCATCCATATGTGATTCAGTGGGTCTTTGTTGGCATTGTTGGAACTGTGTAGCTAACATGCACACTTCAATATTTTCTGCAGTTTGTAATATTGAACAATGTTATGGCACATTGCATGCTTGCGTCATATCATGCCAGGAAGAGATGACTGCTTTGTGTGGCCCTCAAACAGTCATCTCTTCAGTATCTGCGGGGTTCAAAATGCAGCTGCTAGTAACAGGAAAAAGAAAGAATGATCATATAACACCAGTACTGGCCTCCTTCCTCTGGCTTTCTGTCTGCTTCAGGCTTGATTTTAAGATGATATAAGTTCAGGGCACCTTATTTAGCAGAGCTATTGTAACATCACACGAACCAACCGGATGCTCTAAGATCTACTGAAGCTTACAGTTGCCACCAAACTGACACCAGTTAATGAGAGCGCAGCTGACAGAAGGCTTGGAGCTTCATCCAACCGTCCAAATGGTGTCAATGGAAGACCTGTGTATCCAGGGCTCCATCTGATAGGTCAGGAATTCAAATGCTGACTGTAAATCAAATGATTTTTCTTCTTCATTCCATTGTAAGTGGTCTGTTGCAATGAATATCGCAGTGATGATGCAAGTATGAGTTATTGGTTGGCACGAGTAGACGCGGCCCTAATCAGCAATACTTCACTTGTCCGCCTTCTGAAATGTGAGGATTTGCTACTTTCTCCTGTTTTATTCAACTTTTAGCCGCATACTCTCTGTGTTTTTTTCACTATTCATCAGACAAACAGAGCTGTCAATTGAAAGCATCTTTGTGAGGTGATTGTTTGATGCTTTTTTTAAAAAATATTTTCCGATATTTTACTGAAATGAACTGGAGATTAACATGTTTTCTAATGATTTCTAGTTTCATTTTTAGTTTAGGTTCATTTTAAGTTAATTTGGTCATTCATTAAGCAAACGTATCACATTTGATGGTTCACATTTGGTGCCACTATCCTGTCAGACAAACTGAAGAATCTGACAACATCATCTTGAACTCTGGGATCTTGTGATGTCAGCTCTTTTTTCTTACATTATACAGATTCAATAAGAAGGATAATCAGTAACGCAAATGGTAATTAGCTGCTGTCTCAGTGTGATGTATAAGTGTTCATGTTGCTCATGTCCTTAGTCAGCTTGGTCATTCCCCTCTGACACGTCCTGATTGAAGCCAGATGCCCCTCTCCTCCACAGTACCAAACTCAAACCACCTGTAGGCCCATCTCCGTATGGAATTTACAGAGATTAAATGCTGCCACTACAATAACCACATGTGGGCCTCTGAGGCAGGCCGAGGGAGCTCCGATAGCACAACACGGGATCTCCCAGTATGGTCTCAAAGCAGCGAGCTTCCAGCCCTGCGTAAACCTACTGAGGTCATTCTCCAGCAGCTCAGGCTACATCCAGTAGGGCTGTGCAGGACGGGACACGAGAAGGAACAACTTGGTTAAGTAACAGCAATCATTCACAAACAATCAGCCTGAATGTGCCCAGAGCCAAAGATCAGTGTTTGATAATCGGCAGGAGCCACACTGAGGGCACAGAGCAATAAATAACAACCCAGACTTCATTCTAGATGTAATGATTGGATGATAATGATTTGCAAAAACGAGCTCCAACTGATCCTTTTGCGCTCACACAGACAGGCATTTATCTCTAACTCAATTCTCTAATGACCATCACAAGCCAGTATCACATGTAAGCGAAGGAATCTGAGAATTAAAGAGAGACAGACACTGTTTGCTTTGCTCGAAACCCAGATGAGAGTCTCTCTTCTCAACTTTTGCCGGTACTTTCCGTCATGTTTGAACGACTTGGACTTGACCTAGAAGTTAATTCACCACTGCTGCTCTGGAGCTGATCCTGAGGGCGCAGCATCACCGGAGGGACTCCCCAACGCAGATATCCATTACTGACACAGAACCTCAACAGTCACTCCACCTCCTACAAATTACCACCTAATGAGTACTCATCCAGAACCTTGTTTTAGCACAGGGTGTGTGACATGATTTCACATGATGATGATGTTTCACAAGGTCTGCAAAACACAGTTTCTGCAGAAACAAGATGAATCCATGACGCTGCAGAGACACTTTTCCAGGAAGCCTTTGGCACCGCTGCGCAAACACTGGCATGCGCAACATTCAATTAGAGCGGCAGTTTGACAGACTGTAATGTCTCCCGTTATATGAGGCTGTGCCATGCTTCTGAGACCGAGCCGCTGCACGTAGAAACAATTAAGTGCGCTGCGGTTTCCCCTTCAGTCAGAATAAGTAACATCTGGGCAATACGGACGGAAAGTATTTAGGGGCAGTTTACGAGGACACTGTGGTGCCACCACCTTTTAACGGGGCGCGCAGGCAACGTGGAGTGACACACCTAATGGATGCTTTTAGCTGCTTAGTCGTCAATTATGCAGACTGCCATGATCTAAGCTGATGTCCGGCGTGTGCGCAAAGATGCGCTGGAGACCTCGGCGTGGCACTAAGCGCGCCCTCCGCGTCTGTCATCGATTACTTTGTCTGGAAACCAGCAGAAATGTCTGATTCCGTTTTAGATTTTACTCACCAACAACTGCCACTGCTGTCAAAGTGAAATGTTGCCGCAGCCAGAGCATCCTGACGCACCAGTTCGTGTCCTGCAGCTTCAGTTATTCCACGGACTTCTCCCGCTCGCTGCTCAGATAAACACAGATTCCTCAGAGGAGCAAAACAAAATTCGCTAAATGACTACCAAGAGTCCACAAGGCATTTCCTGAGCCGCAGCATCCACAGTTTTTACAGTATGAAGTCCTGTTTTGAAAACCGGCTGCACTGCTCGGGATGAGGTCGAGTCCACTGCGCGTCTTCTGAGCTGAGCGGCACCAACAGAAACAGGGAGGAAGAGGAGGAGGAGGAGGAGGAGGAAGGAGGCGGGTGGGAGAGTTGTAAGGAGTTCACTCATGCACAGGACCTTATAAGCTACGTTTGCGGGGGCTTGGTCTGCCAGCATGGGAAAATCTTAGCAGTCCAATAACAGCAGCACACTGATGTCTGGAGACAAGACCACAACTGAACGGTTAGACCAGAATAGACTCAGTCCAACACTCAGGATTCAGTCTGTGACAGCTGATCCTTCACTGGAATTGTTTTCATAACCCAAATTCATAATATAATTGAGCCATAACTGAACAACAGTGTGATTGGGTAAAAGTTCCTCACAAATCTGGCCAGTTTAAGGAGGTGTCATGGTGTGAAAACACATCTTTGGCACCCAATATGGAGGGAAAAAATGTTCCTTCTTCTAAAAATGTTCACATTTAAACAGTAAAAGTCAAAGATTCAATTGAAGATCTTTAGGTTTTGATTGCAAGTGTGAGTGACAGCCTGTGAACATTCAAAAAACTGTGGAAGAATGAGACGTAAATGGGATTTTGTGGAAACATCAACACTGCTGTTCCTGCTTCTCGATAAATATAGTAAAATTGGCCTCTTTGGCACTTGGCCCTCCATATAAGTAATGCTTTTCCCAGAGGTCCGTGTTCATTTACCAGCTGTGGTGCTGAAAGTTGGGGCTAGTGTAATATATTAAAAATACGTTTCAACATGTGAGTGTGCAGCACCTGAAAGATGTCAGTTGTTTCCCACCATGTACTGTGCAACTCGTTAGTCGCTAATTTTATGATCTTTTAGGTGGTATTCGAGCAATACGGTTATGAAGAAGTCATCAATGTGCCAAAGAAAGGCTTTGATTATTATTATTTTTTAGGTAAAACAATGAGTTCCTGTCCAAACATTTGATGTTTGATTAAAAACACTCTATCAATAGCATTATCTAACTTTTTTGTCACATAAACTTTCCAAAAAAGTAACGTTTTGTAGGACTTTTTACCTGTAATTTCATTTAAACAATTTAGTGTTATTTTACAGATTTTCTCTGTTTTGTTAAATTACAGGTTATAACTAGTAAAATAACTGGGGGAAACAGTGCTAATTTACATGTTAACCCTTAAAAAAGTTATCTGTATTTTTATAAACAACAATTTGTTCTTTGTCCCATTAAATAACACATTTTTAACGTAGTAAAAATCAGCAAAAATATTTTACATATATTTATTTTAGTTATTTGCAAGAAAAAAATAGTATATTAAGGATTTTTTAAAAATCAAATGTTGTAAAATTTTATTTTATATTACGAATAAGTACTCCCATTGAAAATAGTATAAATTTACATGTTGACTGTAAAAAAAAAAAAACACCAAACAAACAAAAAAACAGACCAAAGCTGTACAGAACAGCCATATTAAAATCTATATTTTTACAAAACATTAATTTGTTCTTTTATGTGTGACCATCAACATCACATTACATTGTTTCACTGTATTTAAATCAGTTAAAAATATAAATATTTTATAGATATTTGCAATATTTTTTTAAAAATGTACCCACCCTTGTTTCATAGTTTGTTTTTTACAGAGGTTTTTTATGGTGCATTTTCTGGCACCTTGCAGCTCAAAGATGTCAGAACAACATACAGCAGATTTCAGTGATGACGGGCGTTGTTAAGTCAGTCTTTGACATCTTCATCTGACACCAAAATGAACATAATGCCAATGATGGAAGTACAGCTGTGATATTAGACTTTGCTCTGTTGTTCACTGTGAGTTCGTAGCTCAGTTAATGAGCGACAAAGAGAAAACACTCACATTTTCAGAAGAGAAAAACAAATTACGATTGACACGCTTGTTTGGCCACACAAACGAGGCCAGTAGCTCAGTTCCTGGAACGAACAAGTCATTCATGCTCTTTACTCTGGTAGCAGCAGAAGAAAACATCCGACAACTGCAGCTGATTGAAAACACGGCTGCTTGACTTTTAACATACAAAGAGAAGTGACCGCATGATATCAAAAATCTGGCTCCTGTCGATGTATCTGCTAACTCCCTATGAGCCTGTTGCTTGAGTCATGGTTAATAATTCCTGATTTGTCACTGAAGGTGTTTGGGCCCCTCAGATGTGGGACTTTCTGCCAGACCTCAGGCAAAGTCAGTATCAAAAACATTCTCTTAAAACTTACATCATTTGGCATTTCCTCAATGGATGGTAATTGTTTTGTTAATTTACATTATTTTATCTTGTCTATATCATAAGTTCCGGTCTTTTTACTTTCAATATTATTCGTTGTGAACCTCTTTGTCACTTTGTTTTTAATAGGTGTTATACAAATAAAGTTTATTCCCACTATTATTCAGCCCCTGAGGAGTCATATGATTACAATGAGCACTGGGTTATATATTTAAAATGTTGTGCCAATTTCAGAGGCCAACAGCTGGAGAGAACTCACAAAAATCCCAATATGATTATGAAGGGATTATTACAGGGTGTTGGATGGTGTTTGTTCAGGAGGCCCTCAAGTTAGATCGTTGATTACAACCAACTATATAAGTGTAGTGTTACCCTATAATGCAAAAAACAGTTTTCCGGTCGAACACATCATCTTAAGAGCAAACAGGCTCACTTACATGACACTCTCTGCAGTATTTGCACAGTTTTGGCCGTAATCCTGTAATAAAGTCTCCGTGCTCCTAATATCCTTGCACCAAATCTCAACAATTTTGCTCTATTTTCTATCTCATCTTGAAATAGTTAACAAGCAGAACACATAAATCCCCCGAAAGCAGACTGAAGTCATATAAAACTGCTGGGGATAAAGCCAGCAGTATGAGCCTCCTAAAGCTAATTACTAGTCGGAAGCCACATCATTACACTTTAGAAACCACCAGTATTTACCTTTCAAATGCCAGCCGACACCTGAGTAACCACCATTCATCGATAGCCAACCATTCTGGGATAATTTAGCTCACGCACAAATTGCTACAGCTACCATTACAGTAGCTCTGAGTCTGTGGAAGAAATGAACTGCAAACATCTGGAAAAACTCCCAAAAAAGTGCCTAATCCAGAAGATATATTTATTTTCTACATTTTCTTTGTTTTTGTTGTTATTATTAAGATTTTTTCTAAAAATGTCTTGATAAATTTTGATATGTTTATCATATTGTTTTGTGTTACAGTTCAGGTTGGTTACCTGTTAAAGATTAGGGCATTGTTGTGAGATGTGTGTATTCTCTATATGAAGAGTTCATTTGCAAAAACAGATAACTCCATTTTTGTAGATTTTCAGAAATTTTCTTTTGTTGTTGTTTGCTTGAGATAATGTCAATCAAACTGAAGTTGAGTAGATTTGACTCAATAGAAATGACATGACAAAAATAGAGATAGCTTATGTTTGATTGATATTGTTTCAGTTAGACGATGGAAAAGTGGATTTTCTGAAGGTTTGTGAAGATGGCGTGATCTGTTTTTGCAAATGAACTCTTCATATGTGTTAGATCTTAATGCTGGTGCTTGTGCCATGAATGCAGAACATACAAAACAAAACATGTTGCTTAAGTGTGCTGTCTAAAAGGACACATTGCTTTTTGTCATCTGATGCCTCAACTAGAAACATCCATCCATCCATCCATCCATTATCTATACACCTCTTAATCCTCACTAGAGTCGTGGGGGGCTGGAGTCTATCCCAGCTGACTTAGGGTGAAGGCAGGGGACACCCTGGACAGGTCACCAGTCTATCACAGGGCTACACTTAGAGACAGACAACCAAGCACACTCACATTCACACCTACGGACAATTTAGAATCACCAATTAACCTCAACATGTTTTTGGACTGTGTGGGAGGAAGCCGGAGAACCCGGAGAGAACCCACGCTGCACGGGGAGAACATGCAAACTCCACAAAGAAAGATCCCGGGTGTCCTCATCGGGACGCGAACTGGCGACCTTCTTGCTGCGAGGCAACAATGCTACTAACTGCACCATTTTGCAGCCCCGACTGGAAACACAAATCACATAATAAAACAATAATAAATACAACAATACAATAATAACTACTTGGTTCAGGTGGGGATACAATTGTGAACAGTGGTTATCCATCCACCCCGACCTCCTCCCTACATGGACTACGTTGCTTTGTAATAAACATACCTTGTTTGTGCCCTAATTACTGCAGCAGCTTTGCCACTTCAGCATAAAATGATATTGTTTTATTGATTTTGTTGAAATTACTAACACAGTCTCATAAGCTTATCACTGTGAGTGCCGAGGACAGTGTGCAAACTTTATTTTTTGCCATAAAAACCCCCTTTCAGACACATCCACTGTTGTAATTATCTGCTACAACAATATTAGAAACTACAATTTCAGACTCAGACCTGACGTCTTGTGTTATTGTCTGCTTTTCGATTTACTCTACAGCCTTTTGTTGCTCTCCTTCTTGCAGTTGTCCTCCCTCTCATGTGAACATTTACTACTCACAACATCATACTCTTTCACTGCAACCCACACAAACACATACAGTCATGCACACCTGCACGATGGTATCTATTTCCTCACTAGTTGAGTAACAGAACCACCTTCTCCATTTCTGCTTGTAAATATTAGGAATCTCTTTATATACAAAGACCCACAAACATAAAGAACATCTCATCCGCAAGCATGCAGGATGAGTTATTTAACATACGAGCACATCCGTTGGAACGCGCCACACGGGAGAGGAAAACTACGAGACTACACAACGAACAACAAATACAACACATGCACACTTTAAATATGCAGACGCAGATCTGTATCAGACAGAATCTCAGGAACTCCCAGTGAATCAGACAGTTTACAGGAGTCCTTCCTGTCTTCAGCCCTGCAGATATCTCCGACTGAGACTCAGGAAGACTCTGATTAGTTTCCATGCACTTCCTCGCTGCAACATACCCTTCCCCACCCATCTCCCCCCCCTCCTCCTTTTCCTCATCCTCTTACATGCCTCGGCCCGCTCATATTGCTTTCTTTTCTCATGGTAACAATGTATAGA